GGGCAGAGCTTTCACTGGTACAGGCAGAGGGGAGTGGAGAGAGACCCTCTGTGGAGGAGCAGAAGGAACATCTCTGATCTCCTGTGGAGCTTGCTCTTTTTATGTGTCTTCAGTGCTCAGATGTGTCTTTAGTGTGTCTTATCAGCGGGTCCCAGGAGCCTTGCTATCCGGTCTTACATACGGGGTACAGATCACTTTATCTATTTCCTACACACAGGCCACTCAAGGGTGTTTATCAGTTTGTTTACATTCCATTCCATACTTTCAGATATCATACTTCAATTCCACACTTTAATACTTATTCTATATTGTATTTATCCTTATTACTGTTACTACCTGTATAACATTGGGGACCATGCCACCTAGCCACAGGGGGCTGCACCAGGGCACTGGCCACGCCCACCCGCTCACTGTCCCCTGTCCCCTTGGGGACAGAGAACAATGGGTATCTACCGAGGGACAGGGAGTGACAGCACCTACTGCGCTTGGGGCCCGGCAAAGCTCTAGGTCCCTGAGAAGGAGTTCATGCATAATATCGTTTTAAACATTTCAATGCGGAAAAATGTGAATGCTCGAGAAGAGAGACTAGCATAAGACCCCCCATGACGGCCCTGACTTAATCATTACTGCTACTTGGCTCCATCGCTGCACCGCCTTCGCTCAGGCCTGGTAAGAGCTCCTGCCTGTGTGAGCGTCACTAGTGGGGCACTCAGTACGTGTCTCTTAAAGGGAAAGATGCTCATAAACAGGAACATAATCCAACATAAGAAGATAAGCGTCCTCCCTTGATGTCACAGATAGCACGTCCCCATTCACATCTCTCCAGTGGCCCTAAAAACGTCCCCTACAATCGATTGGTTCAGATCTAACCCAGATGGCAGGCACTGGCTGCAGTGGGCCATTGTGTCACTTAAGGAGCTTTGAAAGGAGCAAAGTCCTCGTCTAGCTCCCCCTAGTGGTTGGGGTGAGTGCAGGAACCGATGTGTCACATCCTCTCTCCATTTCTCCTCCTCCTTCTCACTCTCTCTCGAAAAGAAATCAATGGAAAATATCCTTGGGTGAGGACACAACAACAACAAAACCACGGCCTTCATCCATGCCACGGGCCAGGCGGAGAGGTGCCTCGTGGAATCACGGGGCAGCCCCCATGCCATTGTAGTTGCCTGTTTCCAGGAGAAAACCGAGGCTCCCAGAGCCCATAGAACTCAGCACCGACGCTTTGGCTTAGAAACGAGATCCGGCTGGGAGCCTCATCCCAGACACGGAGAGGAAGGCTACAAGACAGAGCATCACCAGGACCCAGCAGAGGAGGCTGGCCAGGCCAACACCTCTTGTGAGGCAGTGGCGGTTCACCCAGTCAGGGCACATGCCCAGATTACAGTTCAATCCCGGGGCGCATGCAGGAGGCAGCGTGGGTCACTCTTCTCCAGTTTACAGCTCAGCCATCTCCAAAGGGACCCCAAGACGCGTCCTCCTGACAAGAGCCTCGGAGTTCCCATCGGGATGCTCTCCAGAGAGAACTGTGGGGAGGCTGTGTCCACCTCTAGACGCGGGTGCGATGCCAGTGTTTCCTGACCCTCCACACGTGGCATGGGGCATTTGGGGAATTTTTCATTAAAAGGGACAAGTGCAGGCGAAGTCATGAGTGATTGTGCATCAGATGGGAAAGCTGGATGTGTGCTGTCTGCCAATGACTCCCAGCCTCTCAGGCAGAGCACGGCCTTGCTCTGGACTCCTCAGCCCCCCCCCTTCACACACATACACACACACACACACACACACACACACACACCCGCCCTGTGCATGGACGAGGACTCTCTGTCAGGAAGAGGAGCAGCCCTCAGGTCTCCTCATACCAGCAAAGTGGCTTCTGGGCCCTTGATTCCCGGTGGGAAGCTCCATCCTAAAAGGAGCCTCGCATCCGTCCTGGGGCATCAGGAAATCCAGCCTCCATCACCGGGTTTACTGACGGGACCAAGGAGGCCGCCCAGCTCCCCAGGAGTGGGCCCAGAAGAGCCAGGCCTGGCAAGGAGGGGTGCCGGCCCCTCCTGGGCGAGCAGCCCCACAGCCTGGCCCACGTGAGGGACGAGCCAGTGAGGAGGAATCCTCCCCTCGCAGCTGGATGCAGCTGATGGTCTTCATCTCTCTGGTCCCCCCTCCCCACTCCTCCTCCTCTCTTCCCCTCCCACTCCACCCCCGCTTCTCCCGTGGAAGCCAAAGACTCTATCCTTACTTTTACAACCAAACGTCGCATTTCACAAAGGCCTGCGCCTTCTCCCTGAGAGCTGGCGGCCCAGCTCCTGCACAGAGTGGCTCTTTGGGCCTGTCATCGAGCTTCGGACAAAAGCCGCCCGCCACACGATGTGGCCTGGAAGCACCCACATGCCACTGGAAAGAGAACCTGTCTTGCCACTCAAAGGTGTGCTGTCTCCCTAGCGCCCTCACAGCGGCGTGTATGTGTGAAGAGTCATTTGACAACGCCTGATGTGAGCTGAGGGCACATCCTAACTGCGGCACAGCTGCTCAGGGAGCCGCCCATGGAGCCCGCAGCGTCTGCTCCCGGAGAGCGCGCCCTCCTTCCCAGCATCTGCTCTCACAGGCAATGCCACTCGGAAGGCAGAGTGCGCGTTCTGGAGGCAAAGCCTGGCCTTTCTGCCTAAAACAAGTGCGCTGCTCAGAGCAGCACCATCCATGGCGATCCTCAGTGCCCCTCGGAGGGAGCCGGCCCAGACCCCCAGGCAGCCGGGCCACATGACAGGCACCTGGTGGTCTGTTTGCAGAGAGCTCCACTCAGCGCTGCCCTGCCGCCTTGGCAGGGAGACTGCACAGCTGTCCCAGGACGAGGATCTGCATCCTGCACCCTCGGAGTTTCAAGAAGCCTTAGGGACTGTGGCCAACACCAGCCGGCCCCTGGCCACTGCACTGCTGGACACTCACGCTGACCCAGGGGGCAGAGAGCCCAGCTGGAAGCACATGTACTACCCAACTCACAGCCCAAGGGCCACGCCTCAGAGCCAAGGTTAACTGGCTTTAATCCAGTGAGTTTCAGAGGGTTTACTGTATCGGAAGACTTAACCAGTGAAGACTTCAAATAGCCTCTCTCTCCCTCTCCTCTCTCTCCCTCTTCTTCCCCTTGTCCCTCTTCTCTCTCTCCCTCCCTCGCCCCTTCCCCTTCCTCCCGGTCTCTCCCCAGACACACTGTTTCCTACATCCAGCCCGGAGCCCCTGGCCACTGCTGCACCCCCAGGGGAGAGGATGGGTCCTCTCTGGGCACAAGGGTGAAGGATACAACTTAGACCATGTTTGTCAAACCTAATCGTCTCTGGAAATTACTCAGAACCCCCAGGAGCTGCTGCCTGTGTCCATCAGCCTTTACCACATCAGAAGTTAAAGCTGAGACATTTCAGAACTCCAGAAAGGGTAACACGCATGCCCGTGGCCAGCAGAGGAATGATGTCATCATCGCTGGGTGGCCTGGAAGGCACCACTGTACCTTACAAAGCACAGTTAGGACGGCCAGCCGCCTCCCGTGTTGCTGTGAAGATAAGCTCACACCGCGTCCTGAGAACCAGGCCCAGCTGGAGTGAAGTCACAGACAGCCCCAGGTCTCCGCTGTGCCCGACTCTGCAAGGTTTGGCTTACGAAAAGAATAATCAGAATATAAATATTAAAAGGCTTGTTCATGTCCAGCCAGTGTGGCTCAGTGGTTGAGTTGGCCTATGAACCAGGAGCTCACAGTTTGATTCCCAATCAGGGCACATGCCCAGATTGTGGGCTCAATGCCCAGCATGGGGCATGCAGGAGACAGCCAATCAATGACTCTCTCATCATTGATGTTTCTATCTTTCTCTCCCTTTCTTTCTGAAATCAATAAAAAAAAAAGTATTTGTTAAAAAAAAACCTTGCTCATTAGAAGGCTGAGGGATTTACTACACAATGGTATATACATATGCTTAAAAACACTCACATAATGTAAACACTGAAATTATTATAATCATGGCATCGCCGTGGTATATTATTTACAATGAATTCTGTGCCTGCAGGGGATTAACTGAGCTAAGTGGGTAGCTAACTACAGGCAGTCCACTCGGGTCCTAAGCTCCTGCTCTCTGAGGCATCCTCTGAGGATCTTCTGCCCTAAGTTAAGGTTCAGTCCCAGCTCTCTCCCCCAGGGGGCGCCATGAACAGCAGATCCTCCAATGCTGTTGTTCTGTTATAACCATCCCGGGGGAGGAGCAGCCTCTGGCCCCGCCTCCCGGGACAGTGAGCCCTTTGGGAAGTGAGGCCTCCAGCCCCAGGGGAGGCCCCGCAGCTGGCGCCTGTGCCAGCAGCAATGAGCTGTCTCCCCAGCCTCCTCCCCGAAGTGGAGGCTCCAGGCCAGTGAACCACAGAGCCCTCAGGAGCCCCTCTGACTCGGTGGTGCCCGAAGCAGAAGACAGCAGGAAGGGGGCGAGGCCAGCCTGGGCCTCCTGGAGGGAGCCCATGCCCCTTTATCTCCCGGCGCTCACTGCAGTCCTATAAAATGTTAGCTGTTCGTACTGGATCTCCTCTCGGCGCCTCCGGCTCCTTCTGGCCGCTGGCTGGGTTTTTGCAAATGCACAAACGGAACTGCTTTCCCAGTGGAAACCAGGGCCTGGCTGCCCAGGTGAGGAAGACGAGACGGTGGTCTAGGTGTCCTGGGGACCCTGAGTCCTGTCCACCAAGTCTGGAGTGGGGCTAACCCCAGTCTGCCAGCCCACTGCCTAGCAGCCAGTGCAGGTGTTCAGTGTGCAGGTGCACGGTGCTCAGTGCTCAGGTGCTCAGTGCTCAGTTCTCCGGTGCTCAGTGTTTAGGTGCTCAGTACTTAGTGCTCAGGTGCTCAGTGTTCAGGTGCTCTGTGCTCAGGTGCTCAGTACTCAGTGTTTAGGTGCTCAGTACTCAGTGCTCAGGTGCTCAGTGCTTAGGTGCTCAATGCTCAGTTCCCGGGCCAGTAGGCAGCGTGTGTCCCCTGGACCTCTCGGTCAGTCCAGACGCACAGTGAGGACCTCCAGCAGGTCCCCAGCTGGTTCCTGTGATCACAGGGGTATGGCCACTGTCCGGGGCAGTGCACCTGGTGCCTAGCCCTGCAGCCCTCACTCTGTCCTTGGAAAGTTCCAGTCTTCCCCTGAGCTGCTCGGCTCAGCAACGTCCAAGATCGCAAAGCCTCCAGCCCATAATGGGGTCTCCTATGAGTTCCCTTTGTTTTGTTGTAACAAATTCACCACTTTACACATTTCTTTTAAAAAGAGTGTATTCCGAGTTAGCACTGTTATAAGAATTTAAAAGAAAAGTCTTATTTGTTTTCTTGTTTTGATTTCTTATTAAATGCTATCAAAGTGGGAGTAGTTTTTCAGCAGCAACAGCGTGGCCTGCATTAACCTCCCCTTTCCTGTGGGAATTGTGCTCCTTGAGGACGATATGCCGCACATGAACGCGTGTTCTGGGGCTGGGCCGGGAAGGCAGGGGAGACACCCCTGCTCCTGAGAGTCAGGGCACCTGCAGAGCCGCCTGTCCGCACCTGAGGCGAAGGGACACACACACCTTAGCAGACACCTTATGTCTGCTCAGCCCAATTAAATAAGGATGTTTTACAGCCATTGGCTTTAATACCGCGATGTGAACCCTCCCATCACGTCCATCATTAAATATGTCCTCCTCAGACCTGCTGTTTAGGCACTTCGGTTCCTGTTGGCATGGTTTATAACTTCAGAGATGAAAGGCTGAGATTGTCACTACCTACACCATTTGTCTCCTGCTAAAATTTTCCAGCCCTTATCTCCTTCTCAAAGGAACATAATTTAAATATGAATAATGAAAAGTGCTTCCAGAAACATAAGCCCAATAATGCTTTCTGAGGTGCAAACTGCTTAATGTGAGACTTGGATGCAGCACAAAAGAATTGCATGTTAGCAAATTGTGCTTCTAGCTTGGCGCTGGGATAAGGCGGGGGCTGGCCGCCGGGGAGGGACTGGGCGTGAGGAAGGCGCCCCTCAGGCTGCCCGCGAGGGGCTTGCGCACAGCCACTCCGGCAAGCCCTCAGCGCGGAAATGGCAATTCTCCACCCCCGACCACGCGCTTTAATACTACACACATGGTTACTCTTCCATGGAGATGAATTTTCAGAGAGAACTGACGTGTTAAAAAGCCAATATGTAAATTTATTTCTTTGCTCCAAAAAAATCAACTTCTATATAAGTTATTCATGGGGAAATAAGGGAATTTTAATCCATTAGGACTTTGAATCTGCCATCTCTTTTTTTCCTTCTCTTTCTCTTTCTCTTTCTCTCTCCCTCTCCTCCCTCTCCCCCAAGCCATGAACACACTTGTGTTTTCCAAGCATAAGTTGGCTGTGAGGGAGGCTTTATATGACTCTCAGGCTCACTACGACACCCCGGTTCCTAGGCTTTTCCCATTTCACACTAAAGCAGAATAAGCTGAGGCTGGACCTTGTAAACTGAGCTGCCAAAATAGGTTCGCCCTCATGGTTTTCCAAATTCGAGCCAAGAAGAGCATTTAGGCTCGGAACCTGAAGGTGATGGAGCGCGGACGTGGGCGGCCGCGCGGGGACTGGGCGGGCTCTGCGGGGACGTGGGCGGCCGCGCGGGGACTGGGCGTGCTCTGCTGGGACGTGGGCGGCCACGCGGGGACTGGGCGGGCTCTGCATGGCAGGTGTGGCACCTCCCGCTCGGCCCTCAGGGCTCTCACCGCGTCCCTGGGTGTACAGAATCCCATCGTTCCGTAGCAGCTGCAGAGGGAGAGGTTGGTTGGTGCTTAGCACTCCGTGCGGTGGGTGAGGCGGTTCCTGCTCAGTTCCGTCTGGGGCCGAGTTAGGCCTTTGTGGCCTGCGCAGGGTGGGCGCTGAGAGCCCGCCAGGCGTCCTGAGGAAGGGCGAGCGCTGGCTGGTGAGGTTTGCTGCGCACGCACCAGGGACCGGCTTCCTTTCGGGTGAGCTACCACCCGCTGCCTGCAGGCCGCTGAAGCCAGCTCCCCGCACAGCAGGTCTGCTCGGAAGGCGGTGAGCTGCGGGACGTAGGGGTCGAAGCAGGACAGCGTCCACGGGGGCAGAGGAGCCCCGAGGCCCTTGCTCTGAGGGAGCTGGGTGGCTGTTCTGCAAGGTGGGGCTTCAGACCCCTGGGTCCTCAAAAGCAGAACTGTCTGCCAGGCGCAGCCCCAGGCGTAACACCCGCAAACGCAAACTCGGGTGTGCACGAAAGTTAACCAAATGGCAGCTCAGCATGTCCAGGCCTCCCACCCTCCCGGGGTCCTTTAAGAAGAAAAGCCGTGGAGAGACCCCAGCCCACCTTTGCTGGCTCCGCTGGCATGCCTCCGTCCAGGCAGGCAGCTGGAATCTAAGGGCCACCACTCCTGTGCCACCGGGACATGGGGGCACTGCCCAGATGAGGGCCACCTATCAGAGACACCCCCCCCCAAAGTCCAGCTGCCACTGAGCTCTGGAGGGTGGTACAGGGGGCTGGGAGGCCCACAACCATTAAAGCCCCTGGCGCCTTGTGGGAGCAGCACGAGGGGCCGAGGCGGCTGGAGCCTCACGGGTGTTGCTGAGCCCTGAGTAGCTGGTGTAAGGAGTTCCGTGGCTCAGCCTGGATTTCTAGGAATTTCAGAGGAAGGGGGGGCATTCTGCCGTGCTGGTACAGAGGTGACCACAGGCCCAGGCACATGTGTGTGCAAGATAGCACCACACATGGGCCGCGGAGGGCACTGAGGGACGCGAGGAGAAGGTCGCCCCGGGAAACGCTGCTCTGCCCATGTGGCTGGCCCCGGACTGAGAAGCCCTACACGCACCCAGTGCCTCGCTTCTCCTCCAAAGGGACGGAGCACACATGCAGCAGAAGCCTCGGCCGGTGCTGGAGTGCAGGCCTTCGGGACGCAGTCTGTGCAGGGACCTGAGTGTGACCTCGGGCAGGCGAGAAGGAGTAGGGCGCCCTTCTCAGTGCAGAGGCCTCGGTGCCAGCCCTCCCGTGCCAGGCAGGGAGGTCCCCGTCCCTGGTGTCTGTGCGGCCCCTGGGCACAGCCTCCGCTGGACCACAGCCGGTGAGATGCCAGGTAGAGGCCCTCCAGCACCAGGCAGTCTGGTGTAAAATTTGGGATAGGAGGGGAGCGGAGAGACAGGAGGGCGCACTGCCATGCAGGTGCTTAACAAGCTGCAGGGGCAGCGGTTCCAGGGGCGCTTCTGGGGTCGGCCCAGAGGGGCTGTCAGAGGCTCCCGAGAAATTCCCTCCAAGCTCCCACATGAGGGGCGGCTCTGGGGCAGGTTTTCAACAGCAGGGGTTCCGTCCCAGGAGACCTCGGCCATTTAGAGGCAGTTGCTTCTGGGTTTACCCTGCAAACGTGGACCTGAGAGGCCAGCACACAGCCTCAGCCAGGGCTCCGGGAAGAGCCCAATCCCAGAAAGACTCTTGGACAGTACTGGTGCCTATCCTGTCAGAGTGTGATGTGCCTGTCACAGTGTGGTGTGCCTGTCACAGTGTGATGTGCCTGTCAGAATGTGGTGTGCCTGTCAGAGTATGATGTGCCTGTCAGAGTGTGGTGTGCCTGTCAGAGTGTGGTGTGCCTGTCAGAGTGTGATGTGTGTGCCTGTCAGAGTGTGATGTGCCTGTCAGAGTGTGATGTGTGTGCCTGTCAGAGTGTGATGTGTGTGCCTGTCAGAGTGTGATGTGCCTGTCAGAGTGTGATGTGTGTGCCTGTCAGAGTGTGATGTGTGTGCCTGTCAGAGTGTGGTGTGCCTGTCACAGTGTGATGTGCCTGTCAGAATGTGGTGTGCCTGTCAGAGTATGATGTGCCTGTCAGAGTGTGGTGTGCCTGTCAGAGTGTGGTGTGCCTGTCAGAGTGTGATGTGTGTGCCTGTCAGAGTGTGGTGTGCCTGTCAGTGTGGTGTGCCTGTCACAGTGTGGTGTGCCTGTCAGAGTGTGATGTGTGTGCCTGTCAGAGTGTGGTGTGCCTGTCACAGTGTGATGTGCCTGTCAGCATGTGGTGTGCCTGTCAGAGTATGATGTGCCTGTCAGAGTGTGGTGTGCCTGTCAGAGTGTGATGTGTGTGCCTGTCAGAGTGTGATGTGCCTGTCAGAGTGTGGTGTGCCTGTCAGTGTGGTGTGCCTGTCAGAGTGTGGTGTGCCTGTCAGAGTGTGATGTGTGTGCCTGTCAGAGTGTGGTGTGCCTGTCACAGTGTGATGTGCCTGTCAGCATGTGGTGTGCCTGTCAGAGTATGATGTGCCTGTCAGAGTGTGGTGTGCCTGTCAGAGTGTGATGTGTGTGCCTGTCAGAGTGTGATGTGCCTGTCAGAGTGTTATGTGCCTGTCAGAGTGTGGTGTGCCTGTCAGAGTGTGATGTGTGTGCCTGTCAGAGTGTGGTGTGCCTGTCAGAGTGTGGTGTGCCTGTCAGAGTGTGGTGTGCCTGTCAGAGTGTGGTGTGTGTGCCTGTCAGAGTGTGGTGTGCCTGTCAGAGTGTGGTGTGCCTGTCAGAGTGTGATGTGCCTGTCAGAGTGTGGTGTGCCTGTCACAGTGTGATGTGCCTGTCAGAGTGTGATGTGCCTGTCAGAGTGTGGTGTGCCTGTCAGAGTGTGGTGTGCCTGTCAGAGTGTGGTGTGTGTGCCTGTCAGAGTGTGGTGTGCCTGTCAGAGTGTGGTGTGTGTGCCTGTCAGAGTGTGGTGTGCCTGTCAGAGTGTGGTGTGCCTGTCAGAGTGTGATGTGCCTGTCAGAGTGTGGTGTGCCTGTCAGAGTGTGGTGTGCCTGTCAGAGTGTGGTGTGTGTGCCTGTCAGAGTGTGGTGTGCCTGTCAGAGTGTGGTGTGTGTGCCTGTCAGAGTGTGGTGTGCCTGTCAGAGTATGATGTGCCTGTCAGAGTGTGGTGTGCCTGTCAGAGTGTGATGTGTGTGCCTGTCAGAGTGGGATGTGCCTGTCAGAGTGTGGTGTGCCTGTCAGAGTGTGGTGTGTGTGCCTGTCAGAGTGTGGTGTGCCTGTCAGAGTATGATGTGCCTGTCAGAGTGTGGTGTGCCTGTCAGAGTGTGATGTGTGTGCCTGTCAGAGTATGATGTGCCTGTCAGAGTGTTATGTGCCTGTCAGAGTGTGGTGTGCCTGTCAGAGTGTGATGTGTGTGCCTGTCAGAGTGTGGTGTGCCTGTCAGAGTGTGGTGTGCCTGTCAGAGTGTGGTGTGCCTGTCAGAGTGTGGTGTGCCTGTCAGAGTGTGATGTGTGTGCCTGTCAGAGTGTGATGTGCCTGTCAGAGTGTGATGTGTGTGTCAGAGTGTGATGTGTGTGCCTGTCAGAGTGTGGTGTGCCTGTCACAGTGTGATGTGCCTGTCAGAATGTGGTGTGCCTGTCAGAGTATGATGTGCCTGTCAGAGTGTGGTGTGCCTGTCAGAGTGTGGTGTGCCTGTCAGAGTGTGGTGTGCCTGTCAGAGTGTGGTGTGCCTGTCAGTGTGGTGTGCCTGTCACAGTGTGGTGTGCCTGTCAGAGTGTGATGTGTGTGCCTGTCAGAGTGTGGTGTGCCTGTCACAGTGTGATGTGCCTGTCAGCATGTGGTGTGCCTGTCAGAGTATGATGTGCCTGTCAGAGTGTGGTGTGCCTGTCAGAGTGTGATGTGTGTGCCTGTCAGAGTGTGATGTGCCTGTCAGAGTGTGGTGTGCCTGTCAGTGTGGTGTGCCTGTCAGAGTGTGGTGTGCCTGTCAGAGTGTGATGTGTGTGCCTGTCAGAGTGTGGTGTGCCTGTCACAGTGTGATGTGCCTGTCAGCATGTGGTGTGCCTGTCAGAGTGTGATGTGCCTGTCAGAGTGTGGTGTGCCTGTCAGAGTGTGATGTGTGTGCCTGTCAGAGTGTGATGTGCCTGTCAGAGTGTTATGTGCCTGTCAGAGTGTGGTGTGCCTGTCAGAGTGTGATGTGTGTGCCTGTCAGAGTGTGGTGTGCCTGTCAGAGTGTGGTGTGCCTGTCAGAGTGTGGTGTGCCTGTCAGAGTGTGGTGTGTGTGCCTGTCAGAGTGTGGTGTGCCTGTCAGAGTGTGGTGTGTGTGCCTGTCAGAGTGTGGTGTGCCTGTCAGAGTGTGGTGTGCCTGTCAGAGTGTGGTGTGCCTGTCAGAGTGTGATGTGCCTGTCAGAGTGTGGTGTGCCTGTCACAGTGTGATGTGCCTGTCAGAGTGTGATGTGCCTGTCAGAGTGTGGTGTGCCTGTCAGAGTGTGGTGTGCCTGTCAGAGTGTGGTGTGTGTGCCTGTCAGAGTGTGGTGTGCCTGTCAGAGTGTGGTGTGTGTGCCTGTCAGAGTGTGGTGTGCCTGTCAGAGTATGATGTGCCTGTCAGAGTGTGGTGTGCCTGTCAGAGTGTGGTGTGCCTGTCAGAGTGTGGTGTGCCTGTCAGAGTGTGATGTGTGTGCCTGTCAGAGTGTGATGTGCCTGTCAGAGTGTGGTATGCCTGTCAGAGTGTGATGTGTGTGCCTGTCAGAGTGTGATGTGCCTGTCACAGTGTGGTGTGCCTGTCACAGTGTGGTGTGAGCATCGGGCAGCACTGCGCCTGTGCCTGTCAGAGTGTGGTGTGTGTGCCTTTTGGAGTGTGGTGTGCCTTTTGGAGTGTGGTGTGCCTGTCAGAGTGTGGTGTGTGTGCCTGTCAGAGTGTGGTGTGCCTGTCAGAGTGTGGTATACCTGTCAGAGTGTGGTGTGTGTGCCTGTCACAGTGTGGTGTGCCTGTTAGAGTGTGGTGTGCTTGTCACAGTGTGGTGTGTGCCTGTCACAGTGTGGTGTGTGTGCCTGTCAGAGTGTGGTATGCCTGTCACAGTGTGGTGTGACTGTCAGAGTGTGATGTGTGTGCCTTTCGGAGTGTGGTGTGCCTGTCACAGTGTGGTGTGTGTGCCTGTCAGAGTGTGGTGTGTGTGCCTGTCAGAGTGTGGTATATGTGCCTGTCAGAGTGTGGTGTGCCTGTCACAGTGTGGTGTGTCTGCCTGTCAGAGTGTGGTGTGCCTGTCAGAGTGTGGTGTGCCTGTCAGAGTGTGATGTGTGTGCCTGTCAGAGTGTGGCGTGCCTGTCACAGTGTGGTGTGTGTACCTGTCAGAGTGTGGTGTGCCTGTCAGAGTGTGGTGTGCCTGTCAGAGTGTGGTGTTTGTACCTGTCAGAGTGTGGC